AAAAAATTGAAGGTGCATGGCATATTGTACAGCGGACGGATTCAATACAATACCTACGTGATACCTTTCAACACTTGTGAATTTTTTGTTTCATTATGACACATGCACGAAATTAAAAAATAAAGATATGACTGTAAGAAAATGGAATACCCTTCAAAATGAGCCCCCTTTTGCATTAAAAAAAATTGGGGGAGTGGCTGTCACGTTGAGAAAGTTGAAGAAGGGGGGATTTTTTTATGTCACGAAGTGTCTTTTCGAATATATAATTTGACGTGTTTAAGGGTTTTTCTTGAAAATGGCTAATAACGTAGAAAATTAATTTATCTGTTACATATGGTGCTCACTGTATAATCGCATATGCAAGTTAACCTCTTTATGAAACTGAATGAGAAATAATCATATTGGAAAAGAAATGTTGGTTATCACCTGGGGTTTGAAACATTTTCATATCTATACACCAGCTGTAATTTTTCATTTTGATGATATTACAATCAAAGATAATATGATATTGAGATAAAGTTTACACCTAGTACACCAAGGTCATCTAGGCATAGTCAAGGTAAAAGAACTGATGAATAAAATGGTTGATGCAGAAATGTCAAAATATCACGCATGACAAGTAGCAACTAGTAAAAATCACAGGAATCCAATTGCCGCCAAAGAACTGACAAATTGCGTTGGGGATTTTGCCGGCCTATTTCCAGATGGAAAGAATTTAATCACATCAATAGATGAGTTCAAGAGTAGAATCTCATTTGAACTACGGGATCATAGGATGGGGAGGAGTCTCTAAAAGTCATCTCAAACATCTTGAAATGACACAAAAACGTTTTCTGAGAATTCTCAACAGAAATAATAGATATTCAAGTGATGCTCTTTATGAAGAGTCTAGAATGTTTGATCTGAGACAAAAATTTTTTTTAGCATAACTACAACACAGTTCTTAAATAAACCATCTCATGCTCATAGAACGAGGCAAATTGATAACTTCTCAATACTCTTCGCATCCAAATCAATTGGTCGAAACTGTTACAGAGTCCTACTTCCAAAGGCATTTAATATACTTCCTAAAGAATTGAAAAATGAGACATCAAAATTCAGGTTCAAGAAAGGAATAAAACTCTTCACAAAACAATCTGATCGATATGAGACTCATGAACTAATTGAAAACTGAAAAAATAAAATAAAAAAAAATTGATAACTTCCACATTTTCAATATATACTGATAATATTTTTATATATACACATTTATTTAAGTGTAATGATACCATGAATTCTTTTATATTCGTTCTTCATTCGTTACCGTTATTGTATATATAAGCTTTGTTATTATCAACTTCAAATATGTTTGTAACACTATCGATAATTACCAAGTTCTCTACCACTCCTTGAATTCATATATACATTTTTTAATTGGTATTTTAATAGTTATTTTTGTATTGTAACTTATACATGTATATACATTTTACATATAAATTAATTTTAGATTTTTCTTTTTAAATTTTGACCTCTTATATTACTATGAATGTTTATATTGTTATATTACTTTTATTAGCCTTATATAAAACTGAGTTTTATCTTCCTCTTGAAAATGATCACTTGGTGATCGAAACACGTGTCGAGGTGTAAAAATAACGATTTGGTGTTGGGAAAAAACTCCAGTAATATTCATTACTACACCAAAGGTTCCAAACAGTATATCACAAGTACATAAGAAGCAACTTGTTTACCTTAATGAAAAACTTGATGTGTTAGATGAAAAATCTAAAATGAATAGCCTACGCTTAATTGGAGTCAATGAGGAAGCAGATGAGAATTTGATTGGCAAAATCTTAAATACAATAAATGATGGAATGAAAATTAAATGTGCTATATTCGAACTGAACAGAGTATTCAGAGTAGGCAAAATCTCCACAGATCTTACTAAACCGAGGGCAGTAATTGTAGACTTTGTCACCAACCTGAAGCGAACTGAAGTTTACAAAGCCAAATTCAATCTGAAAGGAACAGGAATTTTCATCAACGAGGATTTAACAGACTATCGCTACAAGCTACTTCTTCAAGCAAAGAAGAAATTTGGTAATAAAGAAGCATGGTCGCATAATTGCAAAATTTATGCCAAATGTGACAATACTGTAAAACTTATCCGTCAAGAAGTTCTGGCGAACTGAAAGGGAAAAAGTTTGAAGTTGAAAAACAACTATTGTTAGTTTAGGTACCTTATTTTATCTAAAGCCTGGCCTATACAGAAAATATCTTGGGCTGTTATCAAATTCAGTATTGTGGACAAGTAATTAAATAAAATGAATAACCTTTGATATATAGTTCTTAGTCCTAATTTACCATAATTGGAAATGTGTTCTAATCCATTTAATCCATTACCTATCTGATAATATTGTAAGTGATTTGAACACATATCCATTACTGTTATCAAATTCGGTATTGTGGACAAGTAATTAAATATGATGAATAACCTTTGATATATAGTTCTTAGTCCTAATTTACGATAATTGGAAATGTGTTCTAATCCATTTAATCCATTACTTATCTGATAATATTGTAAGTAACTTGAACACATATCCATATACATTATTTATTTTCTACTTAACAAACTCTACTAATAACTTTAACTACAGACTGAGCCCACTGATGTTATGTTATGTTTAAGACTAAAAATGTGTACTACCAGAATTGCAGGGGTTTGAACACTAAAACCAATGATTTTTTTTAGAAGTACATTAGATTGTAACTTTGACATCATCATAGCTGTCAAAACGTGGTTGCAAGAAGGGATTAGTGACGGCGAAATTGTTGATACAAATGTGTACCATCTGGCGAGAGACAACAGGGATTTGCAAAGAACAAAACTACTGGCGGAGGAGTTCTTATTGCTTTTAAAAAGGAATACACTTTAATCTACCCTTAATATAAATATTGAATATAGAAAAAGTAATCAATGTGTCAAACAGATGAACAATAAGAACCAATATAATTTCACAAAAGCGAATTTCGAAAATTTAGTCTTAAAAGTACGGGATACAAATTGGGCGGGTGTTTTATCAGAATCCGATGTAAATCGGTCTTTAGATGCCTTTTATAAAATATAGAATACGATTATATCAGACTCGGTTCCAAAGTTTAAAATATATAAAAACTATAAACCGTTTCCTATCTGGTTTACAAAAGAAATAAAGAGTATGTTGAACTCAGTAATACAGTAATTATTAATCATATTCTGAACATCTCCTTATGAAATGTTACAGATCTCAAAGGGTTTTTCGATATTCTCAATATTTTTATTGTGGATTGATTACAAGCCCCTGCAATTCATGATACATTATATTTATGATTCAGGTTCATAGCTTAATTACTACAACACCTCAAGTATTTTTTGTAAAGCTGTTAACCATGTAATAAGGCCGTCTTGGCCTGTTTGGTTAAAATCAAATAAATAAATACACTTAGGGCTGTTGCCCACATGAACTAAACAGTATGTGCAAATAACTGAACAGCAAGTGCAATAACTTTTATCCAGATAGAAAATACCTTGTTCATCTTCAGAAAAAAATTTCTCATCCCCAGTCAAATCTTCACCCAAAAAGATATTTTGGATTTTGCAGGTACAATTGGATATGAACGCCTCGGTGCTGAAAAAATCAGTTGGCCTACAAAAGCTTTCCTTACACACTTCACAGTGAGGGCCTTTGCTAACATTTTCCTCGCAATTTTCTGATTTGAGTTTATGGTGAAAAATCTCAATGTCATCCTCACTTTTAATTTCTTCTTCAACATATTTATTTCCCAAAAGAAAATTGAAAGGGGGCATTTGTGAACACATTTTATTATCGACTACAACACAGCATATGCTTTGACTACAAACAAACAGTAATAAAGATGCATTTAGGAACCATCAACTTTCTTCTTCTTTCGAACTTTATGAAATTTCCTCAGAGTAATAATAAGACACATGCCTCTGTGCCTATACCAAAACAAGACACGTGTTTTGAAACGGATATCGTATTATCGTTTTCTGTACAACTTATTGGCGAGGGGGGTGGCGGGTAATGAGAGGTTATGGAGAGTTTGTTTACATTTGAAGTAAGTGGGACCATAAAACAGTGGCGGTTGATTTAGTTGATAATCGGAGGGATATTATATATTTATAAAATAAATCATTTCAGGTGAAAACGTATGCTGTTCAAATAGTTCCTACAGGAAATCTGATTTATTATTGATTATGGAAATGAAGCCAGTTTTTCACCCACCTACTAGATTTTTATTTATGTATGACTTAATAATAAAGGGCGTGGTTTACTGGGTTGAAATTAAATTATTACAAATGAACTAATTGATAACAATGATAAATGTTAATTTCAAAAGTAATGAATTTATAATTACGATTGAATTTTGATATTGTTATGTGATTTCATTCGAAATTTGTGTCTAGGGGTCTTTGTGGACCGACTTTATGTTTTTTCATGCTGACGAATTCTATAATTACGAAAAATCATTAATGTAAATGAAAAAAACTGTGTTCAAAAATGAAAAATATGTATACTAAATAGTTATTCCTCTGCAACCGGTGTTATATCTGTTATTGCTCACTTTACAACTAACTTACGTCTCACAAAGAATATGATCTCCGTTTTGATTTTTCTTTCTTTGCACAAGGCTTTCGAGTTGCATACAAACAATATTCAAAAAGAAATGACGGTTATCATTTTTTAACCTCTTTTTGGTTGGGTTGTCAAATAATGAAATGTAAATGTAAACCTAGTTTCAAAAACTTCAATTAGAAGATCAAAAAAAACCATCAGTAAAAACATCAAAAATATTCCTTTTCATAATGTACACAAAAAACCCTAGATACCAATTTTGAATGAAATCACAGAATAATATCAAAACTCAATCGTAATTATAAATATTCATGATTTCTAATCGAAAATTCTTTATATCGGACCTTACAAACCGTACCGCTTGTTTATCAAATCTGAGAATGAATCACAAATTTCTTCATCTAATTTAATGAAACAAAGTTCATTACATTTATCATTGTTATCAATTAGTTAATTTGAAATTTAATTTCAACCCAGTAAACCACACGCTTTATTATAAAGCCATACATAAATGAAAATCTAGTAGGTGGTAGAAAAACTGGCCTCATTTCCATAATCATTAATAATAAATCAGATTTCCTGTAGGAACTATTTGAACAGAATACATTTTCACCTGAAATGATTTATTTTATAAATATAAAATATCTCTCCGGTTATCAACTGAACCAACCGCCACTGTTTTATGGTCCAACTTACTTCCCGTAAACAAAGTTATGCTGCCTTCAATGTAAGGATGGAAAAGGCTTTTGCTTTTGTTACTCTGAGGCCATTTCTGAAATGACTTATTCTTCTTCTTCTTGTTTAGATGGGTTCGACATGTAAGGTCACTTTTACAGTTCCGACGGCAAGTTTGATGTAATTGGAGATATTTAGATTTCGACCTATATTTGCTTGGATGTCTGCCGTTTCGTTACCTTTTATATTCTGGTGAATAGGTATCCATGTTAGTATAATATCGTATTCACTTTTCATGGCAGCTAATATATTAATGTTTTTTTTAGTCCTGTGATATAACTAGATTTATAAAACATTTTGTTGTTTAATTTTTCAATTGCACTTTTTTCAGTCACAGAAGATATTTGATTTTTAGAATTATTTTTCAATAGACTTAAACAGCATTGTGAACGGCTATTATCTCAGCTGAGCATATTTGTGTAAAGTTATATTATCTGGAACTGTAATTATAATTACAATGAGGTATGTGTGCCCCAAAACCTGGAAATCTAACGATCCATCAGTATATATGTAAAGTTATTGTCAGAATATTTGTTTTTGAACGAGTTCAGGAATTTTTGATTTTCCGTTAGATATGATTTCTGTTGTGTGAAGTTTGATGTTTTTCGGTGACCTACCTGATAGTCAATTTCTGTTTCATATCCCGGATTGATTTCGTATTGATAAGTGTTTATATTAAATTTGAGACATATTTGCAATGCTTCAATTAGATATGGTACTGGTTTGTTTCTCCAGTATCCCGTTTTCTGTGTACATAATTGATATAGTAGCCGTATTAAGTCTATGACTGGAATATTACGAGTCTCTTTTTCTTCAATTTTCGAAATCCATTTCACCATATTCGGATAATAGCGCAGGGGTTTGAGTAGATCTCGTTGCTTCCGTTGAAATTCCAAGTGCACCATATTGAATTCGATTTGATTTTGTCAGGTTTACTTTGCTAGAAAGCTTGATGAAGTAATGACCATTGTCTAAGTAAGTTCTGATATACCCCTGAACACTGTGAGTAGTATGAGAGGATCAACCCCCACCATATAACACAAAGAGACGTTATGTTGTTGATTCCCTCCATATATTTTTTGTAATATAATCAATATATTCAGATCAATTCAGTGTGTTTGTAATAACATTAATAATAATTACTCCAAAATATTTGTGGTCACTTGAATGATGGATTGGTCCATTATTATGTGCAAGAGATGTTCTGTGTGATGGTTTTTGCTGAACATCATTGTAACTGATTTTAAATAATATAATTAAAAGTTGTGCTTCTCTTACCATAGTGACATTTTTTGAAGAGTTGAATTCATTAAGTTTAGTATATCGTTTCTATCCACTCCCCATGTAATCATTACAATATCATCTGCACACTGTAGTATCTTCATGGTTTTAGGAATTATATCATGTATACTGTTATTGTCCCTCCTCCTTGGATGACACTGACTGATCGCCGATATGATCTAATTTTTTTCATTACATGACACAGGAAAGTTCCCTTGATGTTTCTGAAATTCTGTAGCTTGCGTTTTCTTATAAATTCTTGGACAGAATTCATTTGCTTCATATAATGATCAATTATCTAGTACTACTGATTCTTCAATTTCTTACTACAGTAAATGAATACAGTAGTAAATGAATACAGTATAGCATTCACCTTCATGTGATTCAGCCCCACAGTAATAACATTCAGTTTTTTTATCATATTTTTTGGTATGGCCAAAAATCGAACATTTGGAATATTGTACGACCAGACTGATATAAGGGTATGACCACAGATATGAACTCCCTTAGGAGCCATGTCCCTGAAAATGTGTAACATACAGTATATGTTGATGAATATTTTGGTACTTAGAAATTTATGTCTTTTGTGGTTATTCTAAGAATGTTCCATGGTCTGTTACGTTGATTTTGGACCTTCCAATAAATCCTCGTTAGTGATTACTTTATCTACACACCATTATTCCCTCACATGGAAATCTATCTGTAGGAATATACATTTCATACCTTTTTTTAACTCATCGTTCGAGATAGATTAATTTGCTGTTTTAACCCTTTGAGGACGGAGTTAATTTTTATTGGAAAAAAACAAACTTTCATGGAAAAATGTATTGATTAATATATTTATTCACAAAGTAAAACAAAAAAACGTGGGATCGTGACAAAAGAAAAAATATGATATGGTTATTTCAAGTGACCACTAGGCATCATCTAGTTCCGATGAAAGATATAAAAACAATTTTTGTCTTTGACACATAATTCCACATTGCACGTAGAACACATCCAAACGGTGCGGTGTGGTTCTTTCGTATTGCTGCAATGTGCACATCGTCGTGAACTTGTATGAACGGGCATATGCAAGTTCTTATCAAATTTCAATTACTGTGGCACGATGGTTGTGAATTTATTAGGTATATTTTCATTACTTTTCCGACCACGCTTTGATTCCCCAGAAATAGCACCTATTAGGCCAGAAACCATAGAAAGTCGAAATTATTTCAAGGTTATTTTACTTGGTAATCGGGACTTGAATATGATATATGAGTTCATCACTGTAACATCCACAAAGAACCAAATTATTCAGTGCCACTATTTCCTTGATTTGCGATCTATCAAGTAATGTGATTTACACATATCATGTGAAGATTATAGTCATTAACAAGTACTATACATGTGACTTCCTCTCTAGAGCCAACTTTTCTTCTTCTAGAAACACTCTTTAACTCTGTAGGGTCATGAAAGTTAGAATTGAATATAGCATCGCTTTTTTGTCCATCCACTAGTCCGTCTTTGGAAACTCTGTAATCTGAATCACCACGTCTCAGCAGCCTGTCATTTCATAAGTCAGTTGGCATCTGCTTACAGTTTTCTCGAGCAGTTCCACATGCATATATTTTGTTAGAAAGTAGCGTATTTTTAAAGGTGTACATAATTGAAGAAGTTATCAAAGTACACCTTGTGATTCTTAGCAACTAACTCTCTAGAAAGATCTTTGATGATTTGTTCTCCTAGCACCCTTTCAGTAAGAACACCAACTTTGCTAGTATATATTTGAAATTGTGAGACATAACCTGTCTCATCACTATGTACCCAGACTTTGTAGCCTCTTTTTATAGGTTTTTTACGCATATACTGGCGTAGGCTGCTTCTTCCTTCGTAGCGAATCATTGATTCATCAATGGCTTGATGCTCATTAAGCGCGAATGATATCAAATACCATTCTGACAGTGTGTCAATAAGCGGCCGAACTTTGTAAAGTTTATCAAACTTCGGATCTTGCTTTGACCTCTATAGCGGGGCATGGATTTTAGTCCCATGAGAATATTCAATCCAAGAAAAATATTCTTGTAGGTACGCTGATATTTAAATCAATAAGTTGAGTTACTTAAAATTGAATCAGTTTTACAAGTTATATAACTGTTGAAAAATAGAATTTGTATTTCTAGGTTATATAAATATTAAACGAAGTGTGGCCGCCAATATTATTTTATTATACAAGTTTGGGGTGGTGACACTACTAAAAAATATTAAAAAAATCTACATGAATCCAGGAGAGGTCCATATATTCAGCATTAGGTAGCATGTTTCAATTCGATGTCTTGTACATGCCTAGTTCAATCAATCCTTTCAGAAGCAGTGGTGGAAGCCTCTAACTTCGATATAATGAAATTTTCAATCACAGTTTGAGCTGAAAAAACTTGCAAGATGTACACAGGTTATTCACCAATGACCATTACAATAATATAATTCATAGAGATTCAAATTTGTATTGTCTTAGAGTGAAGATATTAATAATAATAGAATATTATAGCGAAAATGCCATGTATAGGAAAAATCCAAATAAAGCATTGTTCCCAAACACCAGATATGGAGATGAAGATGCCAACTTAGTTTTTGGTTAGTGAAACACGCGTCAAGAAAAGTGTTGCGGTTGGGGTGTTTGGAAGCAGTATTTGTTTTGGATTCATTCTACGCCAGATGTTCCAGTTCTAGCTTTCATCCGTGATATAGACAAAAACTCAAATCACAAATATCAAATATAAACGAGGGACCTCATGGTAATCTATTGAAAAACCATGGGCAGCCGAAGGAGCGACAAGTAATCAACTAGATGAACCAGAGTTGATGTACCATTTTTGGAGAATCTCACAACAGTTGCAACTTTGTTTCGTGTTTGGGAATAGGGAATTGTCTACAGCTGTTTTGTTATATATTAATCCATCAATATCTAATTTTCTGTATTTTTTTCTGCTTCAGTTGTAACAGTTGTACGAAAGGGCATATGTATTTTTTTTGACATTCACCTAAAAAATTCGACTCTAAATACGAAATAGATGTGAAATATGAATGTTAGGTTAGGTTATAATGAATAAATACGTCAAAATTCTGAGTCTAGAGCCGGAATGATCAAATTACATTATACAAAGTGAGATAAAAATTTCCCCGTACTAACTATGGGAGTCAACTTCCAACTGTCGCGGGACAATGTTTAAATCGGTGGATTTGTGGAGGAATTTGAGAACTTGTTCAACCCCTAGCCCAAAGTCACGACGCGATCACAAAATACTATACAAAAAAGTCCCTAAAGACGGAATTGAAACAATAAACTTTTTAGCAGATAACAATATCAAGTGAATGTGGACAGCTGCGATAATTTTGAATGAATTGAGTTTACTGCTGAAAATGATATTGAAGACCAGTAACACAGAATATAGGTCAGGGTAAATTGACACCTCATCATCAAATTCTGATTCACAACGAATAGTTTTGAATAATCCCCCCAATAGCAGCAAACATAAAAGCCAAAAAACTCAAATAGGTTTTGACGTATATACGAATGATAGATATACATCCGTGTGCGTATACTCACCCAATGTACTATTGTTGTCTATGGCGACTTTATGGGCCGTATCATCATTTAAATTTACCAAAGCGAATTTTGCTCCGTGTTGCAACAACTCTTGACAGGTATGTGGATGATTTCCTTTAGCAGCATACATCAGTGCTGTATTACACATCTGAAATATTAATAATTTTTTCAAATCAATAAATAAGGCAGTTCACTGTTTCAAAATCATATATATATATA